TAATATAGATAAATCTAATGAACATATTATATCTCATCTATCGCTATGACCAGTGGGGCATGAGACAAAATCATGCAGGCCGTAGAAACAACAATAGACTCGACGACCCTAACTTATTACTAATATCAGTGGGGCATGATGCAGAATCATGCAGACCGTAATACAATAATAAGATCATGGGGCTAACACATCTTTCAACCTATCGCTACTTCAATGGTCTCGTGACATGAACAGTTCGTGAAAGCACTCGATATCGGCTAAAACAGCTGATTCAGGCATAGCGCATAGTTAAGATCATGCCCTCTCAAGAATAGATCTACTAAATAACGATCCCCACTCCACGGTGCTAACAGTGGGGTGTAAGGCAGAATCACACAGGCCGTGATAACGGGCCATGGAACGGTTTTTCGCTAGCCAATAGATCTACTCAAGATCAGATACGTCTTAACCGCACGCTATGCACGATTAAGATCGATATAAAACAGCCGATGAAACATAACTCATCATTTAAAGTGCAGATTAGATCAAATTTAGATTAACAAACGATGGGTTAAAAGGATATAAGACCGATATAAATTAATCCCTATCGGACGAAGTGATATTGTTGTAATTAAATAAATAATGAAAGCAATAAGCAATATCGGTAACTTAATGAATCTATCGAAGGAACGCCACCCTTAGATAGAGCTGATAACTTGACCTTAATCTAGTTCGAGCAGTGGAGGTCGACCGGATCGATGCAACCTTACTTGAACTAGACAAGAGTCGATAACTAACTTATACCAGAGTCTCAGTGGAGGTCGACCGGATCGATACAGCCGTACCAACAGAGGTATAAACCATGACGGTACTTACAGACAAGCAGTGGAGGTCAACCGGATCGATGCAGCCGTACTTGCTGAAGAACTCGCTGAGATCTACTCTACTCCTACTCATAAGGGGTGGCCGGAGCCAAAAAAGTAAGTAACTTGTATTTGATTGATTATGTGTCTTTTACAATAGCCGGGGTTTGATATTTATACCCGGAGCCTAAAAACGAATCCTACTTGAGTACGACTCAGTACAATCTTTGGTACGAAGAAAACATTCCTATTTTAAGATAACTTGGACTCTAATCTTTCCCCTTTTTTAGAGTCGATATGTATCTTCTCGACGCCAATCATATCTCACCATCGTTATCCGCTGACGTCATTTAAAGAGAACCGATCCCAGTGTCGCATTCGAACCGGCAGATATCAATCTTTACGCAATCGACTCCTTGATTGGCACAATCTTGAAAGCCTGCGAGTTCCCGCGCTCTTCTCCCAAATTTTGGTGTAAACACCTCTCTTGGGATCATAGAGCCGATACACCTTGGTGCCCTCCTCGTAGCTCAAAATGGCAATGGGTACGTACCCGATGGGTACTGGCCACCCGTACCCGCACCCACCAGATCAAAATCTTACCCGTCGGGTTACCCGTACCCGTAGGCGGGTAGAAAATTCATTCCATACCCGCACCCGACAGGTAATTCTTACCCGACGGATAACCCGTACCCAACAATATATCCGAGTTCACACACCAAAATATAATAGCTTCTAGCAAAATAAATCAACAATAGAGCAGCAAAACAGAAATATATCCAGGTCAAGCTAGTTGAAATAGATCAGATGTCTCATTGGTTCATTCCAAATATGCTTGTATGGGGATTAGGGTTTGAGGGAGTTCTGGAATATATATACTCATATGCTTATATGGGCCAAATATGGGCTATATGCTTATATAGGCTAAAATTGCAGAGGTTGGATATTATTTATGTGGGGTTTTTTACCCGCGGGTATGCGGGTATGGGTAGTATACACCCACACCCGTACCCGCATACCCGATGGGTACAAGAATTCGTCTAATAACGTACCCGTGGGTGCAAAATGTCTTCCGTACCCGCCTCCTTATCGGGTAAAACCCGTCGGGTACTCGGGTTTCGGGTACCCGTTGCCATTTTGACTCGTAGCCCAGGAGCACCATCGGCGTGCTCCTGTCTTCCTGCTTATCCGAGGTGAGGCTTGGTGTTCTTCACATGGCTGACGCAGCCAAATGTCCTAAGGAAGGACACATTCGGCTTGTGTCCATACCATGCCTCGAACGGCGTCTTGCCTTTTGGGGCGTTGGTGGGCGCGCGATTGAGGATGAACACTGCCGTGGTCACCGCCTCTCCCTAGAACTTTGCTGGCATGCTTTTGCCTTCATCATGGATCGAGCCATGCCGACCACCGTCTGGTTCTGCCACTCCACCACGCCATTCTGATATGGTGAGTATGGCGCGGTGTGGTGTCGCACCACACCCTGATCCGCACAGTACGTAGTGAACTCCACCGAAGTGAATTCGCCGCCACGATCAGTCCGCAGCACACGCAGCTTCTTGCTGCTCTCCGCCTCCGCGCGTGTCTTGAACTTCTTAACCGCTTCCGCTGCCTCGGTCTTGCTGGTCAGAAGCTGCAGCCACATGAACCGGCTGCAGTCATCCACCAGCAAAATAAAGTACTTGCGCCCGTCGTGCGTCATCGGCGTGATTGGCCCACAGAGGTCACCATGGACCAGCTTGAGGGCCTCTGTCGCGCGGTACTTCATCGCCTTCGGGAACGACAACCTTCTTTGCTTCTCGACCAAGCAGCTGTCACACAGCTCACTTGCGTGCTCGATATGAGGCAGCCCAGTCACCATCTTCTCCAGCTGACCAAAAGCGTTGAAGCTGAGATGGCCATACCGGGCATGCCACAGTCACGGCTCCTCCGTGTGCCGTGCAGCCAAGCAAATGGGCTACTCCACCTTTAAGTCGAGCAGGTACAGCCGGTTCCGGGACCTCTTCACCTTGGCAAGAAACCGCTGCTCCTGGTCCCTGATCCTGAGGACGCCGTCCTTAATCAGTACCTCGCTGTCGCACTCATCCAGCTGGCCAATGCTGATGATGCTTGAATGCAACTGCGGGATGTAATATACATCTATCAATGCACGGTGCTCGTCGTTCTAGCACCTGAAGATGATGGTGTTGCGCCTCGGATCGCCATCCTTGAGCCGTCACCGAACTTCACCGTGCCGGTCACGTTACCGTCGAGCTCAAAGAAGGCTTCCTTGGAGCCCGTCATGTGGTTGCTGGCACTGGAGTCCAGGTACCACCGCTGCTTCTGCTCGTCGCCCACACGTCCGAGGTGGACTTGTGCGCGTGGTTCGTCGAGGTTGACAGCCTTCAGAGCCTTGCCGTGCCCTTCCACCGCCATCACCTCTCCCTTCTCTTTGGCCTTAAAGTTGTGCAGTGCACATAACATCGTCATCAGGAGAGTAGCCTCATCATCCTGTGCTAAATGAGCCTCAGCCTTCTTCTCCTGCTTGTGATTTGGGCACTCCTTTGCCTAATGGTCCGTCTTCCCGCAGCGCCGACAGGCGTTGGGGTCGACCTTCTTCTTCTTCTTCTTCGAAGAAACCTTGCCGCGACACTTGCCATCGCCACCGCGGGTGGAGGAGGCTTTCTCGGACTTCTTCTCCTTCATCCGGGCAGCCCACTCCTCTGTCAGCAGCAACTTGCCGTTGTCCGTCATTGCTGTGGCTTGCTCCATGCGCTCATCCACCACCCGCAGACGGCCTGTCATATCCTTAATGGTGAGGATGAACAAGTCCAACATCGTCTCTATGGAGAGAGCGATCTAGATATACTTCACCGACACAGAGTGGAGGTACTTGGAGACCGCCTCTTCTTCGTCGATGGTGACGCCATGGCTCCTAAGCTTACTGATGAGCGACTGCAGGCGGAGGAAAAAGTCCTCCACCGACTCACCATTCTTGAACTTGAGGTTGGCGTACTCCCGCTTCAGCAGCTGGGCTGTCGCCTTCTTTGCGCGGTCGGAGCCGACGCACATCGCTGCAATGGCCTCCCACGCCTCCTTAGCACAATTCTTTGCCCCCAACGGCTCCCTGTACTTCGCTGGCACAACAACGAGGATAGCCTCCAACGCTGACATGTCGTCTTCTTCGTTGTCGGTGCCCTTGTCAATGGCATTCTAGAGTCGTCGGGCTCTGAGCTTGACCTTTATGGTCATCGCCCACTCACCATAGTTGGTGCGAGTTAGCGTCGGCTAACTGATGCCGCTGACCTCCCGCACCGTGCGCATAACGACCTCCTGTCGTGGCTAGGCAGCCACAGCAGCGCCGCTGCTGTCGTCTATCTCCGAACATTCCATCATCGCCAGCGGTTAGTCCGGCGACGGCGCTTGTACGGCTCTGATACCACTTGTTGGTCCCTCAGCTGCCCTGCACAGGTAAGCAGTAAGTTTACCAGCACACTCACTCACTATGGCTAGAGGTAGAATAAGATATTTAGAACAGCTCACACACACAGCACAAGCTCAGCGCTGGCCGAAAGCTCTGCTTCTGAATGTGGCAAACTGAACTGCTCTTTTGTATTGCCTTAGGTGTAATATATATACAAGTGCTAGTACCTCTACCAGGTACATAGTTATTAGTGAGTACACCAACTACCTACTTTTAAGGTACATCAACTGCTCATAGTACTAGCAGTACAAAGCTTAAATCAGCCCACTGCCAAGACATGGCGATGTAATAGCTACCAAGTAATGTACTAGAGGTGGTCTATTGTCATACTACTACAGCATTAGAGACTGGACAGCCGAGTTAATCAAATGCTAGCTCTGCTGCAGCAAGAGAGAGATCAGCAGCAGATTATGTCTTACATTCATCTTATTATGTGTCATATTAACATCTAGAACATGGCAGCCGCAGCATAGTTCATATAAATAGATGACGGCCTCTGCCAGTATGTTAGTATTATATTGACATCAACATAACACGACCCTGGCCTTTTTTTCCAACCTGAAGAGTGTTAATTTCAGCTCACAGCAACATGACAATAGCAAAAAAGCAGAAGAAAATAACATGTTTACACAACTAAACCAAATAAGTACTGAGATTTAAGTAATTAGTCTTTCAAAGTGAAGCTGGCATGTTTGAATTCATACCTCAACCTTCATTGCACTGAATCCAAATCCAGAGTCGCCCTCGACAGCAACCACAAGTCTTTCGGGTTCAGCTACTGCAGCTGCAATACAGTACCCCAATCCAACACCCATCGTCCCCCATGTCCCTGCATCCGGTCTTGTCCTTGGTTCATTCTGCACAAGCACAGCCCTGCCAACATCCATGGTGTTCGCCCCTTCTGAGACCACTACCGGAGCCAGACTCCCCTCAGCAAGGATCGCATCCCGGATTATCCGCAATGGTGTCATGAAATTGAACGGCACAACATCCTTCGCTAGCTGCGCCTCCATCTTAAGAACATTGTCCTTGGCCTTCTTCGTGATCGCTTCAACCCATGGGTGCGACCTTGCCAAGCAGAATGGATTATCCTTGATCTCCTGGTTGATCAGCTCAATTACTCTCTTCGCATCCCCAACAATCCCCACATGTGGCTTCCGGAGCTCAATCTCCCTCCTCCTCGGAGACGTCCACAAGGATGAACTTGACATCCTTGGACCACTTGGGTGGCTCGCCAAAGTGAAGCAACCAATTAAGCCTTGCACCGACGACCAGAGCCACATCGCACTGCCCGATGGCGAGTGAGCGTGCCGCCGTGGCGGAGAGTGGATGCGAGTCAGGCACGACCCCCTTCCCCATCGGCGTCGGGAGGAAGGGGATGCTCGTGGTGTCCACCAGCTTCCGAATCGCCTCCTCCGCGCGTGCGTACGCCGCACCCTTCCCAAACACAACCAGAGGCCGCTCCGCACGCCGGAGCAGGTCCGCAGGTTTCTCGATTCCCTCGTCTAGGGACTTGTGCTTCGACGGGGAAGGATCGGATGCGGCCGAATTGGCGGCTGCTGTTGCTATGAGAGACGCGGCCTCGGATTCAGGGAGGGTTTGGTGGAGGACGTCGGACGGGATATCGAGGTAGCACCCTCCGGGGCGACCGGAGACGGTGGCGGCGAGGGCCTGGAAGACGAGGCGCGGGATGTCGGCGATGGTTGTGGCCTTGACGGCGAGCTTGGCGAAGGGCTTGGTGGCGGCGATCTGGTCGAGCTCCTGGAAGTCGCCCCTGCCGGCGTCGGCCTGGTCGCAGGATCCGGAGACCATGAGGAGCGGCCAGGCGTTGGCGGTGGCGTGGGAGAGGCCCGCGAGGCCGTGGACGCATCCCGGGCCGGAGACGGTGAGGAGGACGCCCGGGGAGCCCGTGAGGAAGCCGTAGGCGGCGGCGGCGTACCCCGCGGACTGCTCGTTGCGGAAGGCGAGGAAGCGGACCCCGGCCGCGGCGGCGCGGGACGCGAGAGAGGTGACGGGGATGCCCACTACCCCAAACATGTGCCGCGTGCCCGCCGCGGCCAGCGCGCGCCCCGCGAGCGCGCTGCCGTCCACCGTCGCGGCGGCCGCGGAGTCAGAGGCCATCCTTTGCTCTGATGCCGCTCTGGGGTGCGATTCGGTGGTTGGTGAGTTGAGCTGGTGCGCTTCTCGACTTCTGGTGTTTGTTGCTTCGGGAGTGCGGTGCCCCGAGCACGGAGTGTGCGAGCACGGAGGAAGTAGGCGTGCGGCGGGACGGCGGCGGGACGGCGGCGGGGCAGATGACACCTGCGCGCGGGCAGAGGTGTATGTGGGGTGAAGGCGTGAAGCCCTGCCCAAGCGACGGAATGGTCTTCGTTGTGGCTTTGCTCGACGCACCGCACAGGCACAGGCACAGGCGCAGGCGCAGGCGCAACGGGGCAGCGGGCACACCACGCCAGGGCCGGGTGCGCTTTGTTTGGCCACATGCTTCTTCAGTTAAAACGGGTCAACGTCTCAATTATTCACGGGTACGCTGTCTTTTTTTTCACACCTATCACCGTTACTAATACAACAATTCAAATACGACTTGAGCAAAGTACTTAAGATTTAATTTAATAATTAAAAATACTTAATGAAAATGTCATCAATACATTGAACGGTTAAAATGTGCTCGTACAACTATAGAACCATTATATCTTGTTTAGAATTTGTGTGTAAATGCGGTATTTGAAATATCCCATTTGGTCATCAACCTCAATAATCTAGGAATCCAAACTCTCTTGTTATTATAATTCATAATCCAGAATCCAGCTGCCCAAACAGTCCCTAAGTTCAATGGCATAGTACTGAGAATTTTGTCTAATTACTTTTGTAGTTGATCATCACATAAACACAATTATGCAACTTAAAAAAGAAACAAACACAAGGTAGGCCAAGTATAGCATTGTGCTGGCTCTCATAAACCTCATCTTCATCTCCGCGAGGGAAGACACATGGTCCATCGTTGGCCTATTGCGCAAAGCGGCGGCCGCTTCAATAGCCGCCCTCTTCTTGCACCGGCGCCTCCACTTGCGAAGGCCTTCCCGTCGAGCTTGAGCGCCACCCCGAACACGCCAGGGGCAAACGATCCAGAACCCAAGCGAGTTGGGCTTAGGGCGGAAGTGGAACAGGCCACGCTCAACGCGGCGTGCCTTGTGCATCTCAAGGGCCTTGGTGATGGCGGCCATGTGCACCTTGATGGCGGGCAGGTGTTGCTTGTATGCGTCCCACTCGTATATTTCTGGGATTTTGGAGTATATGTTGTTGATGATCTGGAGTTTCATGCGGAGCAACAACTCGAGGCCCAACGGGGTGAGCCTCACCATGTCACTACCTCCGCGATGAGTCCTGGTGCCAAACACATCGCGACGATAGAACCTAAACCTCTTGCGGATCTTGCGTCCTCTCATCGTCTTTCTGATGATGGTGTGCTGCGGACCTACAACAGGAATCCAATTATTAATTAATTAGTAGATTACTGACATAAATATATGATGTTGGATGTTGTCGATATGTTGATGAAGACATTAAATACCTAGGTTTTGTTTTCTAATACGTTAAGAATGCTTGTGTTTTGGTCGACGAAACCCTAGATTCTATTATTAGCAAGAAGATCATGGCAAATGTAACTAGCATTTCGTAATTAATAAAGTTGTCATGACGATTTCTCCTCTAGAGGAACTGGGTGAAGTTCCTCAATAATTTCCTTGGGACTATGACTATATTCTAACATGGATTCTCCATTTTTGTGGCTAGGCATGTCGAACGATCACGGAGTCTTATGCCTCCCCTCTAGACTAGCAATCACTTTTTTTGTTAATATACTTCTTGTTGCAATAAACTAAAATGGATTATGTTTGAGTTGTTCGTCAACCACAAAAAGATTTGAATCTTTAGTGAAGCATATTTATATTTCTGCGTTTTTATTTAGGAAAAAATGTGTGGACCAAAATCCAACTTTATGCCAAACGGTTGTAAAAAGTGATTCAGATTCACCATACAAAACTTTACAAAAAGAATCTAGATTTGAAATGTTTCTATAATAATCTAGAACCCAACCAAACCCACTGTAAAGTCAAATTTTTTTCAACTTTAGCAATATTTTTTAAAAAATATTAGCATCTACAGCCTACAGGTTTAAATAATTGCAAAATACAGAAACATTCCATAGGAAAATGATGAAACTAATTTAATATCATAGATATTGGTGTATTTTCTCATGTAAAGTTAGTTAGAACAAGAGGTCTTTGATTTTATAACTAAGCTAAAATTTGGAACCTATAAGCTAGTAAAAAAAACAACTCTGGAAATTATCATGCAATGCACGTGAGCATGAGCATGTATGTCCTACACAGATTTTTTTTTAGTTTGTTTTCGAGTATGTTTTTGGTGTATGACGCCAGCGAGGCATAAGTATTTCAAAATTGTTTATTGGAGTATAACGTCTATATATGTACTGTTTCTTCGTTGGAAAGAAAAAGAAAAGAGCAAGGTACACAGAAAACAAACTCGAGAGGAAGACAAACCTGAAGCTGGAGCAGGGCAGCAGTACTTCTCCATCGGTACTTCGTGGCGTTGATGTGATATTCTATAATATACTCCATATCTGTTGATTGAATCCGAAGGAATAGTAATGTTTCATTTGCAGGCATGCGGAGTCCGGTCCGATCGTGGGTAGAACCGGGCTCGAATACAACAGGGCTAAAGCGACAAGCAGAAACTCTAGACCCCGCCTCCTCAATGGGCCCTCTCTCGTTGACGGCCTGGCAAACCGCGGGGGCCGGGCTGAGACACAAGCAGGCCTCAAACTGCACGAGTTCTTTTTCGGGACCAAAAAAAAAACTGATTGGGGGGCTAGGGGCTTGGGGCTCAAAGCCTTGCCAGCGCCTGCTTCCTCCTCCTCCTGGCTGAGAGGTACGAAAAGGAAATGTGCGTGGCCCTTCACTTTTTATCTCTACATTTTGGTTTATTTTAAGTAGTTATATACTTCTGCATATTATTAAGGGATATGGATCCTGTTTGGCTAAGACGTCAATTTTCTGCATGACATCGCTCAACAAAGGAGAATGGATAACAAGAAGAATCCATCCCTGAGAATGGATAACAAGAAGAATCCATCCCTCCATTATCCCTGGCAATTTGCCACTGTCAGACTTGTGTGTGGTATCAGTAGTGGTAGATCAAAATTCATCTATGGCCAAATCAAACACTATTAACCTGTCACCTGTCATGCTACAATAACACTTTCTTTTATTTACCACGCTGTACAACAGACTCACACTGTCACTGCACCCAAGCATCGACAACAACTCTTAGGCGTGGGACTTGTAACACCCCGGTGTTATGCCTACATTTAGGCACTGCAAATCATGCATATCATGCATCACCAAGCATCCTAATCATACATGCATAATCTTGCCTATAATAACTGAAACATTACTTCGAAACATACGAAACATGTTTGTGAAACGTAAATGATGCATACACTTATTAGAGTTGTTTTGCTCTGATTCTTGCTTGCTAGGTTAGTAGAACATGTTTGGCTGCTATTGTAAATCATCTAGCAATGTTTAGTTCAATTTTTGGAGCAATGTTTGTATTCCAATTTAATTCAAAATTCGGCTTCAAAAATAAATTCCAAAAATTAGGGTTTTGAGCTAAACGTGGACTTTGATCTTCCAATTCAAAATCTAGAAAGAATTTGGCTGTGGTCCTAAAAGCAAAGTTGTAGAGAATTAAATTCTAAGCAACTTTCATTTTTGGTACATTTTCAAAAGAGGTCATCTTCTTACTCAAAATAAGATTTGAAAGCTGGCTTTAAAAAAATTCTTGAAAATATAAATGAAAAGATGTTTTACATTGGCAGTCACCTTCGCTTCTCCAGCCGCCCATTAAGCTTGCCCAATGAGCCTCCCCACAAGGCTTTCTCGCCTCGCTTCGCTTCGTGCCCAAGACTCATGCGCCTGCCCGCCTGCCTCCGCTGCCACACACACACACATACCAGGTTCCCGATCATGGCAGAGCTAGCGCTCAGCCGGTCATGGCAGCTCATGGCCGACAACGCCCCGCCAAGTGCAGCACCACGGCTGGCTTCACCTCCCACGCTTTCTTCTTTCCGCTTGCAGCCTCCTCTCCCGCAGACTCTCGCTTCGCCGCCTTGTCTCCTCGCTTCTTGCTCAAGAAGAAGAAGAATAAGCCGCCGCCGCCACCGTCCTTTGCTTCGCCGACGACGTGCTCCACCTTGGTGCTTCATTCTTCGATTCATCTCGCCCGAGCTCCGCCTCGCTTAGCTCCGTCGCTTGCGCTCACTCGTGGGTCGCCATCGTCAAGGTAAGGGCCGAGCTCGGCCGTCCCCCCTTTTCGCCCGTGGCGGCACGCTGTGGTCGCATGGAACGCCACGACGCCGGCCACCTCTAACCTTCCTCAGAGGTGCGGCTCGCGTGGGGAGCCCGCCGATACCGCTTTGCATCTTCGGAGGAGCTCGCCGCCGATGAGCACCGGCCGGCGGGCGCGCCCCCCGCCTGGTCAGGTCATTGGCCGGCCCACCCAGCATGATGGCGTGGCCGAAGCTGGGCCAGGTGGGCTTGGGCGAGCCCGAGCCAGCCGCCGCCGCTCCCCTTTCGCTCGGTCTCGAGCAGGCGGCCGGTGTGGCCGTGGGCGGTGCATCCAGCAGCCGGCCCGAAGAGAGTTTTGAAGAATTGATTTCCATTTATTCATTCTTATTTGAAAACAGAAATGGTTTGCAAAATATTTGGATACTCAAAGTTGCTCCAAATTTGTTGAAACAAATTTTGCTAGGTTCCTTATCACCAGATCTACTTGGGAAAAATAGTGCATGTCATTTTGATATACTTTTCTATAGGATTTTATTTAATCTTGAATATTGCTGATAACTTGAAAAATATGTAGAAAAATATATAGGCTTCAGAAAAATATGATTCCAAGTTTGTTAATCTTATTATGTCATGTACTTCCTAGGAAAAATATGTTTCATGCATGTGCTGTGGGAAAAATTTGAGGTGTAGTTTAAGTACCTTAGATGGCTGATTTTTGTTATTTTTGCTAGAGAGCAAAATTTGTATAATACA